GGGTCAGGTGGGCGCTCCGCGGCTCTCGGCGGCCCCGCGGCCCCGGGTCGCTCCGGCCCCCTCGTCGTAAGCATTAGCTTCTCTTCTCTATGGAATTATTTAACGAAAAGTGCAAACAAACGCCCACATCCGTCACATCCGGACCTAAAGGCTGTAAACTTGTCACATTTCGCTTCCAGTCTTTCTTTTTTAACCATTCAGGTTTTTCTTTTAAACACCAAATAAAAAACCCACACAGCTAATACATGCTGACCTTTGAGCTTTGATTTATTGGTTCATGCTGTTCACAAAGTCAAGTGTATAAATGAGCCTAAGTCCCCAGCGAGCAATGGACGGGGCGCGGCCCCACGGGCAGAGCCAGGCGCGTCGGGGGTCTCGGGCGCCCATCCGCCGCGGCCTTCGCGGGCAGCACCCACGGGGAGGCCTTGGCAGAGGCGACCGCGCCCCGCCGCGCCACCCAGACGCAGGAGCCGTCTCTCCAGCCAGAGTGGCCTTGAGCTAGTCGCAGCCTCGCGTGGGGACACCGCGGACTCCAGGCAGCGCTCTAGCGCCGCTGGGGGTTAGAACACAGAGCCAAGGCCCTGGCCAGGTGACAGCTGGTTGGAGCGCCCTCCCGTGCCGTGCGCCCAAAGGCTGCAGGTTCCATCCCCGGGCCGGGCACATCTCCGGGAGGGGCCGGTGCTGGAGGCAGCCGATCAGTCTCTCTCTCTCCCTCTCTCCCCCTCCCCCTCCCCTCCCTCTATCTCTAAAATCAATAAAAACATATCCTCAGGGGAGGGAGGAAACAGAACCCGGGCCGGTGCACCGGAGGAGGGAACCACTCACGGAAACCAGCGTCGCTGTGGGAGGAGGCGGTGAATGGAGTTGGCGGGGTGCGTGGAGCAGGGGCACCCGCTTCCCTCCCCGACTTCGGCGCCCGGGGCTCCTGAGATGCCTGCGGCACCCGAAGGCCGCCTCTCTATAGGAGCCAGGCCGCGAGGGCCAGCGGGGAGTGACACCGGGACTTTAGTCGCCCTTCCAACTAAAACAGTAGGTCCCGAGGGGGCGGGAGGGACGCGGCCAGGGGGTCTCCACGCAACTGGGGAGAAAGGAGGGCGAGGGCGAGCCCCGGCCCCTCCCGGGAA